ATGTTTTAACTGTAATTTTGTCAGAATATCTAAAAATAGAAAATCTGAAGGAAAAGCAAACTTCTCAGAAACCCATGAGTTCTGATTCACCGAAACTTCTGCCGAGACTTAGAGTCGTGCGAATGACTCGGTTTTGAGCAATCTTTGGATCCAACGCCGACGGCACAGACATCAGACACTTCTCCGAAAACGAATTCATTATTATTGGCGGCGAAACACTTCCCGAATCAGAGGTGGGAGTAATGGGAATATTGAAAGTGATGGCGATTTGGTCGCTCTCTTCGTTCTCGTGATGTGACGTCAGTCTGGGTTTGAATGAGAAGTCAGTGCTGTATGTCATGTGTCTCAAAACCAAACGCTTCATAGCGTTAGCGCTCTCCGCAAATGCCGCCAAATCTTTAGCGCTGTTATTACGGCGAATAACTCGAGGCGTCTCGAGTAGAGTTCGGGGGCCGCCACAGGCCACCCATCGGTGGTTCAACACCATCTCCGCGGTGTACCGTTGACTCGCGTCCTTCACCAGCAGGTGTCGGATCAGGTCTTTGGCGTCTTCGCTAATGTACGTCCACTCCCTGTCCGGGAAGTCGTACGTCCCGTCTTGGATGCAAGTGAACAACTGGTCCTGACATGATTGGCAGAATTCACCACGCTCCCACCCACAGTCACTGCCACAACTGCCGTAGAACGGCGGGTATCCGCACAACAGGATGTATGTTATCACTCCCAATGACCACAAATCACATCTAGTTTAACATCAATCAACACTTCAGTCACACAATTCAAACATAACATCACATCAATTCAAATACCTCTTGTCATAAGGAGAGGCCTCACCGATGAAGGCCTCCACCACTTCGGGAGCCATGAATTCAGCGGATCCGACCTTTTTATTACATCAAATAAAACATCAATTATAGCTAAATATAGAAGAGAGTGGGCGTAGAAATGAAGCAATGAATACAATACCGGAGTTAAGAGTTCAGGAGTGCTGATTGGAGAGGAATCGCTGTGTACAACACCTGAGCCGAGATCGAAATCACATATCTTGATGGGACAGACCTGGTTCTCACTAAAGCATAGTATGTTTTCAGGCTTGAGGTCCCGGTGAGCTATTCCCTTGTGGTGCAGGAACTTAAGAGCATTCGCTATATCACGTACTATAAGGCTGGCCTCGTTCTCAGTGAAGTGCACCCGCTTTTGAATGTGCGCCAGAAGTGGTCCGCCGTTCACTTTCTCGAAGATCAGATAAAACCTGAAATCAAGACATTGTTTGTTAGCCACGGTTTGGGAGGAGAGGGGAAGGGGTTGTCATACTTGTTGGCCTCTTCGAAGAACTCGACGAGTTGTATAATATTCCGGTGCGATTGGCAGTGATAGAAGATCTCGATCTCTCTAAATACACGGGAGCGGTTGTGTCCGGGAATCTTGTCGATCACTTTGACCGCGTACTTCTTGCCCGTGTAGTTGTTTTTGCACTCCTGGACAGAGGCGTAGGCGCCCTCTCCCAAGAACTCGCCGGTCATTGAATAGAGATCGGAGAAGCAATTGGCTGTCATACTCGTACTACTCGTGCGCTTCTTCTTTCGTCTTCGTTGCTGTTGCTGTCGTTTCTGAGATCCAGTGTCTGGTATGGGAATCGGCGCCGAAGTGACCGACACTTCGTTTGTATCATCGCTCCCATTATAACAGCCGTCATCTGAGGATAGGATCACAGAAGGCATTACAACAACAGTTCCATACTATTTGTCAAACAGTTTTACTCTTGACTTCTCTCACTCTCAACTCATCAAACAAATGATTGCAATAAAAATATAGAAAAGGTTTACAAAAAGGAATGAATGAATGAATGAAATTAAATGCAAAAAACGGCTGCAAAGAAATGGTAAACAATTTCAAGGATATTGCAAATTATACGACTGTATGTGTGTTAATATAACTACACTATTATGTGAGGCACCGGGAGATGGGGAATGACAGACAATGCTAGGTATACTGTGTGTATAAATATAAGGGTAAAGCATCTAATATTTCCTCCAACTATGATAATAACCAATCATTAGTTTATATATTATATAATACAAACATTTTTGTCATTTCATAGTGTATTTAAAATACTTTGCTATCAATTCAACTACATTTTTGGTTAATTAGGAATACGAGTGTTACATAACAATACGCTCTCACTATTGGATGAATGGATCCATATTTAGCTACATTTATATAATACTGTATATCGATTGAAAGTAAATACAATAGAAATGTGATTAAAATAACGAAATTTGAAAGTCATGGTCAAGGACTAGAGGACTATAGGACTGAAAGCTTGTTTCCAACGCTATATCACAGTTATTACTGTGTTATTGTCTGTTATATGATTACTACAGAATCTGCTTTCATAGGCAATACATTCTCATTGATGCACAAAATCATTATATTTTCAGTTTTCGTTTCGTCGAGACCTTGAACTTGAAGCTAACGCAAAGAGTCTGTCATATAATCTGTTATGTTATGTAACCAATCGTCACTTTCAGACCCGATAGTAGACCTAACCATTCACTACAAGAGCTAAATGTATAGACATTCGTGAATGCAGTGAGAGTTCCCCTAAACCTTAAAATCGATAAAATACTTGTTTTCTGTTTAAATACTTTATACGTAACGCTTGTTATGAAATGTTTGGCAATTTATCTGAGAGCTTGTGTTATACATAAAAATATAGACTAATATAGAGTCGATCGATACTATGGTGTTGTTGTCGACAATCTAAATACAGAGCACTTCTTTTCATTCATATAAATAGATTTTTAAGTAAATAAAAATCTCAACAAATCTCAAAATGTGGTATAGATTTGTACACAATTTAATATTATTTAAGATTATCTTCTATTGTCTTAACCTTCGGGAGGAATCAAAACAATTTGTTGTTTAGATATGAGAGCCGTTCAGTGATTTTCAAGTATATTTCGTATACTTTAAGCTATTTATCAATAAATCCAAAAACATAAGTAAAATGTATTGCATATATTGTAATTGATTTTAAAAATCAAAACATTTGATTGAATATTAATAGCAATAAAACAACTAATTGTAGACAAATAAAAAGAAAAACCTAAGGATATAAATGACATTTTATTGATAATAAATTGAGGGAATGCATTCATTTCACATAATATTCTCCAAAATAATAAACTCAATGAAAAGTGTATAATAAACACAAGTATTATATAATAATTATCTATTCATTTATTCAAATAAATAATAATTTATATAAAAATCATTGGAAAATACCATAAAAGAGTAATTTCACAAAAACTTGAAAAAAAATTAAATCGCAAATAAATATTAAATAATAACAGTAAAGATAGGGTTTATCTAATGTTTTTATATTCGTATAATGCATTTAAACATAGAAGTGATAATAAATAGGGTTGAGATTCAGACATCATATGATTTTAATTATCGCCAATATATTGATTGACAATAATCTCATTTCTATAGTAATGGCATGTTTTCGACGTTAGGTTTAGGCATTTTTAAAGGTATTTATCTCTGACACAACACAATCCTTTTATTAACGTATTATAATATAAGATAACACTATTTGATTGAAAAACAAGTAATAATAAAATAAAATATTTTTATTCCCTAAACACATGATTAGATTATGGCTTAAAATACACTTTAAAATCATACGATTCGGGCGTATAATCATGTGATCAAACATCCATATATGATATGTGGCCTTAATTTCGCTGCAATTTATACTCATTATGTAATAAACTTTTGTTAATATCAATGGTTTGTTGTGTCACAAAAGGTATAACTCGTAAATTAATTGACTGCCTATTTCTCTGCCCTTTTCATTATCTAACATTTAATAACTTTAAGACACTTCAGACCTTCGCTAAGCATTTCTAGATTTTTTAAAAATTTGATTTATTGACAATTGGCTACTGTTTGCGACATTTCATTTAAATGTATAGTTAATATAAAGTTTGCAAACAGTATATCAATTATGTTCTGTAAGCGAAAAAACAACTATTTTTTGCCGATAACATAGATTATCGTTTTATATATGACTTGAATCCCAGCCATCAGATACCGAAATAGACGATTAGTCAACAAAAACACTATTCATCACAAGCTATTCTCTCATTATTTATATCATTGAATAAACAATTTTTGGGATAAAACATACAAATATCGATTTGATCTCATTTCAAATTATTATTTAATGCTATTTCTATACATATAAGTAAACACTATTGTTGTAAAGCTATGGCACAGAACTTCACTCAATCGATATAAATATAAAAAATCAAAATGAAAAGTCTTCAAAACCATATTCAATAGTAAATGTTATTAGATATTGGTTTGAAGACTCGGATTAGACATCACTCTAATAAACAAATACTGTGTTTGAAAACATATATATTTATATGTAATATAAATGAAGTGCTCGTTTCAGCACTAAAGTTATCTAAACATCAAAATCAAATAAGTCTATCATTTCACAGCAACTCCTCGACGGCTGTTACATAAACACTACATTTTATGGCAAACATACAACCGATAGTCAGTTCTAAGGGTAACCAAAAATTTAATATAAAATATTAATTAAATTAAATAATCGGCAGTCATTCGCACGACTCTAAGTCTCGGCAGAAGTTTCGGTGAATCAGAACTCATGGGTTTCTGAGAAGTTTGCTTTTCCTTCAGATTTTCTATTTTTAGATATTCTGACAAAATTACAGTTAAAACATTAAATTACTTTTCCTTTGTTTTTAAGACCCTTTATATAGATATGTTCAAAATTATTACATTGATTGCATCAACGATTATATCAATGACACAATTATTTCTAAATTTTTATTCTAATCTATTTTAAACACATTAATAGTATTTTCTTTTTGTTTTAAAATGAATACATATTCTGAATACAATTTCTAATTGAAAATCCCTCTCATGTGAGTGAGAGGGGGAGAGAGAGAGAGAGAATATGAAATATATATACACAGAGATAGAGAAGAATAACTCTTGAATCGAATATATATATAAATTAATCAAAACTTCCAAAACATTAAAACACACGACAACTCATTCCATTCAATGACAACATATTTGTCTTCATTTCTCATAAAATCTGAGCTTTTGTTTAATAAATCATTTAT